GAGAAGCCCACACCGTGTTCCCGCCAGTTGATACTTCCTGTGGCTGTGTTACACCCAAAAGTACGAGAATTCAACCAAGCCCTGTTAGCTAAATCACTCACCAGATTCAGTAGATAAGGCAGCCGTGCAGCGTCCTTCCTTTGGAAGCGTAGACAGCGCGGTGGAAGAGTGCAAGTCCGTCGTTCAAAGTGGGGTTGCGTCCGACTGAGAAATTGCGAGCTGGAAACGTGGCTGCGGCACATTAAAAGATCCTTCTCTTTCCCATAATGCATTGCGAACATAACTAAAAACTTAATAATGTGAAGTGACTTAACTTAAAATTATTGACACATTGCTTAACTAACACATGTAAGTATTATATGCTTACATTTGGTAGTCAGCAAGTAGAATAAGCTTACATTTGATAGTAATGCAATGAAACTTAAATAATGTCAGTAATTTGTAATTCATTATTTAATTAGATATGAACTCCGGGCAAACAGTGTACTTTCTACTTCTTACATGTTGAACCCAAATACCTGTACTTTCTACTTCTTACATGTTGAACCCAAATACCTGTACTTTCTACTTCTTACATGTTGAACCCAAATACCTGTACTTTCTACTTCTTACATGTTGAACTCAAATACCTGTACTTTCTACTTCTTACATGTTGAACACAATTACCTGTACTTTCTACTTCTCACATGTTGAACCCAAATACCTGTACTTTCTACTTCTTACATGTTGAACCCAAATACCTGTACTTTCTACTTCTTACATGTTGAACCCAAATACCTGTACTTTCTACTTCTTACATGTTGAACCCAAATACCTGTACTTTCTACTTCTTACATGTTGAACCCCAAATACCTGAACTTTCTACTTCTTACATGTTGAACCCAAATACCTGTACTTTCTACTTCTCACATGTTGAACACAAATACCTGTACTTTCTACTTCTCACATGTTGAACTCAAATACCTGTACTTTCTACTTCTTACATGTTGAACTCAAATACCTGTACTTTCTACTTCTTACATGTTGAACTCAAATACCTGTACTTTCTACTTCTTACATGTTGAACTCAAATACCTGTACTTTCTACTTCTTACATGTTGAACTCAAATACCTGTACTTTCTACTTCTTACATGTTGAACTCAAATACCTGTACTTTCTACTTCTTACATGTTGAACACAAATACCTGTACTTTCTACTTCTTACATGTTGAACTCAAATACCTGTACTTTCTACTTCTCACATGTTGAACCCAAATACCTGTACTTTCTACTTCTTACATGTTGAACTCAAATACCTGTACTTTCTACTTCTCTCATTTTCCAAACAGCTGGTTCCTTTAGTCTGAATGTGTGTTTGGTGCGTGATCATTATTCTTTAGAGTCATTGCGTGCCTATTGATTTGAACACGATCCGTGTATCCATCATTTCCTGGTCTTCTCTAAAGAAGAGGGACCAATGGAAACGTTGTCATGTTGCCGTTGTTCATTAGCTAACAATGACATTATTGTTCTTGTGGGGGAAACTTCTGAAGCAATTGGAAACAGGACTCAGAGAGACACGATGAGAGCTGGAGCTTTGATGGCAAACACTGACGGTTTATTTGGAGCTTTAGGCGGAGAATTCACAAGACATGTCGTCAGCCACGAGTTGACACCGGTTGCCAAATAAATTCTGAAGAACCCTTCTGCAGCTCGAGGTTTTAACTAGTTCGGAGTGTAATAACCAACATTCTTCATCAGCGAGACTAAAGCAATATGGACCCTAAATAGAGCTCTCGTCCATAGAAAAGAGTGTGAACCTACTTTCTAGATGTCCCTGAACAATACTCATGTGAGCTTGTGCTCGGTCATAAGCTGGCAACAACAAGCTGCCCCTCCTCAAGAGAGATAGCAGCAACACCCAAGGCCGTAGACCTATCCCGTGGGAAAGAGACAGTGAGAGGAGACAACTATGAACTGGGTCAAAGGTTGAATAAGCAAATTATTCCATAACAGTTCTATTAATATAAAGGGAGGTCAGGTACTCTTTAAAGCAGCTGCTAGTTATGGGTACTTTTTACTGAAGTACATTTCAAAGCCTCTTTACTTTAACTTGAGTAAAGAAGTTTAGTCAGTACTTCTACTTTCACCAGAGTATTTTTAAACACGAGTATCTACTTCTACTTGAGTACAGGATGTGTGTACTTTCTCCATCTCTGGGGACGAGACAAGAAACATGGCACGGGGTGAGAAGATGTGCATTTATAGACTGTATATCAAGGTGCATGATGTAGAATGAAATGTGGAGGGAAGGAAAGCACACACAAAGTAATTAAGAGCTAAATGACCCCCTAAATAAACATAAACACATCACACATCCTCTGCTTTTCTGTTTTTACTGATTGATTATATTGCCGTGTTTTTTGGACTTTGGTTTTGTTTGTGCTTTGTGCACCTTGTACGGCGACCTTGAGAGCCTTGAAAGGCGCCTTTATAAATAAAATGTGTTATTATTATTATTATTAAAATATATCTTTTACTTTAAGAAAATAGGCTTGTTTGAGACGAGCTGCGGCTCGCCTCCAAAGTAGACGAGTATAGCCGATTGCAGCCGGGGGAGGTCTCAAAAAGCTCGCCTGAAGTCGGACAGCTCGGCGTCGGCTTCTTCTTCTTCTCTCGGTTAACTTTAAGGTGCATACCGCCACCTACTGTACAAGAGTGTGTATCACCATATCACCACTTGTGGAATTATACCACTGTATTTACGTTGTTTTAAATTCTTCCAATCAATCCTGTTTCACTCAAATACTTAAGAATGGCCTTCCTGGTAGCTCTTACCCCCTCACCTTCTGTTCAACCCGATATCACGGCAAGACGTGAGCATGTGGCGATTCACCATGCTGGGAGACGTGAAGATGTCACGATTTCGTCCCTTCAAACGTGACAGTTACACGGTATTGTTAACCAGTGGAGAAATAACCGGAAATGCCAAGCAAATAGCTACTCCCCGACGGTCGGTTGTCAATATTAATATAATAATGATTTATTTTTTAATAGTCACACTCGATTTCGCCGATGTTCTTGTTGCCCCAGCTGGTCGACACCTCTTTGAGCAGAAACAACATTAATGTATTAAATCGATGTTAATCTATGTGTGTGGATGTGGAATTAACGGACGTGACATTGTGCGATTGCGTTGCCAGGCAACAGCTTCGGTTCATGTTAATTTACAAACTCTTTAACTAGAACCATAGTTATATTTAAAAACATGTTAGAAGGCCTCACGAAATACTTTAATGCAAATTAAAATGCGAATAACAAAATACATCGGTGATAAACGAAACCGGAAACAGACGTAGGCATAACGTGAGGGGGGGTTATATCAGGGTTTGAGTTTTTGTGTGTCTAGTTTTTGGTTTATTTTGCTGTTCTGTCCTCCCTGTCGTTAGTTTCCCTGGTGTGTCTGATCGTCTGATTGTGTTCACCTGTGGCCCTCGTGTTTCTCCCCTGTGTCTTGTCTCGTGATTACCCCTCCCTGTATTTAGTCTCTTCCTGTGTTCAGTGTTGGTTCGTTATTTGTCGTTCATGTCCCCCTTCATGTTGGTCACAGTCACCTTTGTTTGGATGCTACCTCGTACCTGTTTTTGGATTCTTGTTTTTGTTCAGCTTTAGTTTAATAAAGCTCGCCTTTTGTTTCCTTTTGAAACCTGCTTCCTCCTCGATCTGCATTTGGGTCCTATTTTCCCCAACCCTGACAGATAGTTGCTGCGGGGGTTGAGACGCACAAGCTGCAGTGGAGACGCTGCGTACACAAACCACCAAATAAACATTAATTGACTCCACTCCGCAGGGATCCCCCGACCCTTTCTTACAGTTGCTCATCATGGGGGGGGGGGTCTCCTGTCCCCGGTACAAACACACTGACACACTGCCTGAGGTGTATTTTGTCATTAACTTTTTTCGGACCACTTATTTATTTACTTTGGTGACGATCCGACCTCCATGCTGCTCAGGCCCTCCCTCCCAGGCCGATCATGTTCTCCACCCCCCCCCCCCCCCCCAGGGACGGCCCTGATGCTGCTACTCTGGTTCAAACTGCATCCACCAAACAATATGATTTATCTCGACCTCGCCAAAATAACCAAAACCTGACACGGTGTGAGATTTCTTTTTTAGCTGTTCTGTCGTCATTTCCTGCGATCTTCTTCCTATAGTCAGTCAGAATGAATGAATGAATGGGCGTTTCTTTGACTATTTATAGGCAAATATGGGCGTTACGTGAAGCCCGCAAAAGCTGCTCCGCATTTCGAGTCGATTGTAATTTATAAAGGGAAACCGGCGTAGGAAGTGCCGGTACGCAGTCTTTTATGAATCGGAAAATGTCTGTGCGTATTTATTTGCTTTGTCCTACGTAAGCAACCTTCCCAGGTGAATCCTACGCACGGCGTTATAAATGAGGCCCCTGATCTCTGTAAAGTGCCTCCAGAACCCAAAGCATTCATCTTTTGCATCTGTTAGAATGTATTTCATTTATTATCATAATAGTTATAGTATAATTGTATTTCACTGAATAATATTTAACCGTACATTCTGTGTCTTTCACCTGCACTATTTTATTCAAATGTATCGTACTCTGTTCATTTGCACTATTGTTATTTTTGTATTATTCTGTTATTTTGTTGTCTTATGTCCTTCATATATAACTCTTTTGAAACTCCTCAGTGTTCTGCATTGGGTTCAAGTTTTAAACCAGCGTAACAACATGTCTGTTTTCCCTGTTTTGCCCTATAATAAAAACACGTTTTTTGTATCTCTTGTTTAGCTTTCTTTGATTTTTGTATTTTAATTTCTTTATATTTATACCTTTTGCACTTTATTTTTCTTACTTCACATATTATATTTCCACCGTTTAAATATGATTATCATTGTTGAATGGACATCGCAATTCTTCTTTATGGTTATTTCAACTAACATAAAAGTCATTTCAAGAAATCCCGGGGTGAAATAAAATGATATGAAATTAGATTTTGCACCACATCTCTTTATTTCCATCTCACTGAATATAAGTTGCTGGATGAAGATTTAGTTTACATTTCCCTTTTTACCAGTTCCCCAAAAACATTATGTCCTCTCCAGTTTGTCCCCAGCGCCCTGCAGAAACCACACCTTTATTTACATAATCTTTCATATTTTAAACTCAGGTTTTTGACATTTTGCAGCCTCTAGTTCAGAGGGACATTTATCCATTGCATTTCTGGGATTTTTAAATGATTATTTTTGATTAAAAAACATCCAATTAAATACAAGAATTTGGGATTTATAAAATATATTTATATATATCTTTTAAATACTCTGATGTTTTCTGATCTGTGCTCATGAGAGTGTTGGTTATCTTTTCTTTCACCCTGAATACAACATGGTGTTCATCCATCACATCAGCCTAAACATCGATGTTACTGATCTGTTTTTAAGGACAAACATCAATATTTGAACACTCTAAGCCTTATGCATTAATCATCCACTGTAAAAACACTTGTCGACTGTGTTTTGATATGAAGTAAAACTCTAATTTTGCAGAATTCCTGCAGCATTTTCCAGTTAATTGGTTATCTAGAATCATTGTAAGCCTTGAAGGTGAACATGTAAGGTTTCTGAAGGGCACTGACGACAGGAGGGAGTGTTAAGTCAACTGAGTACATCTATATATGAACAAATAGCATTAAAACACACAGATATTGGACTGGTCTGAAGTTTACGGATAATTTACCAGACGCGTCATTTTTCAGACACACACTCACACACACTTGATGCATGCACCCAAGGGCTGAGGACACTGTGCAAAATACAGACATTACTTTAAGGATAATAAGTGCCAAAGAGAATAAGACTAACTTCATAAATAATCAATAGAAAATTAAAAATGAATAATACAAATGGTTAAAAGATAGATTATTAATAACCACAGGTAACCTTAGACACTGGCCTCAGATAGCCCGACATCACATGATGTTCAACAGAATATAAAAGGAGAAAAATAATAAGACATTACATAACTGTGATTGCATACAGCACTGGTTGGACAACCTTCAACGCCTCTGAGTTTGCAGGATTAGCACAAATGGATGAACTCCAGCTTAATAAATGCTCAAAGTTATTCCTTTAACTTGCTGTTATTAAAGTGTGTCAAATAAAGTGATCTCAGACACAGAAAGAGATCACAGAGTTCATAAAGTGAACTGAACAATGCATGTTGTTTCCAGAGTGTAATCCAATTTTTAGATTACCTCATCACATCGAGTTGTGGACATTCAAGGTTTCGAGAGTTCATCCAGCAAGATCACAACCAAGGGATTCCTTTCCATACATGGCAACATATTTGCACAGAGATCCAATTTTCAGTCTGCATTGTAATCCCATCTCGCTACTCAATATGGTTGACGACATTCATCACGTCCCTCATTTGTGAACTTATTCCAAGTTAAACTACCCCATGCTTTGTTGGACTCCTGGAGACGGGAATATCTCTGAAGGTCTTGTCCACTGAAACCAGCAGTTACTCAACCACTTCTGTCGCTTACTGTTTGTCTCTGCAATAAATTCACAAGTGCACATTTCTGCTAATGCCTTGATCTTTCAATTTCCTCTACTTTTGGACCATGTGGTTTTGTAGGGCCAGGAAAGAAGAGCCTTCTCTCTTCCATTCATTGCCGGTTACAGTTCTGAGGAAGAGGCGAAGGAAGATGCGAGAGTCCGTTGATGCTTACTCTTCTTGACATGCCCTCCACCTGTCCTCCGGGTAAAGCTCCACCCTGCAGGGTTTGGGTCAGGCTAACCTGGGCGGTGCTGAAGGAAGTTATCCGACCGCTTCCAGCGATCTGGAGGTTGACCGTGGTGGCGTAACTGGTTTTCTGGTTCTTGGTAGGCGATGAATGGGCAAAGGGTAGCGGGGATGGGCTTGCAGACAAAGGGATGGAGGGAATAGGAGGTGTTTGGGATTGGTAGTTGTGGTTCTGGTAGGGTACAGGGGAGGTAACGCCTCGGGAGGAGAGTGTGTTTTGTTCACAGGATGGTCGTGCAACGTATGCGCAAATCAGCTGGCTGCGACAACTTCCTTCATCGAGCTCTGGGTCTCCCCACTCTGAGAGAGAAGAAGGAGAGGTGGCAATGATGGTGGAAGAAGCGCTTTCATCCAGGACATCGGCGATATTGTATTTGCTGGAAAGCTCTCGTACGTCTGGCCAGGGAACGCTGGTGAAATGCTGGGTTCCCTTCCCTGGGCAAAGCCCGCCGGGTGAGAGCGGGGAATGTATCCCTGCTCGAGGGCTGAGGCAGGACGGGGAGCTGCCGTACGAAGACCACCCACTCCTCGGACTGGTTGGACAGGACTCGTGCTGCTCAAAAGACCCTCGGTTACTGCCGCTAAAAGCAAAGCTCCTCCGGCTGCCGTCTGCCCAGGATCGGCGCTGGACGCTGGGGTTACTTTGGCTCGGGCTTGGTGGTCTATCGGCCAGGTTTGAGGAGAAAGATCTACGAACGGTTTGGGAGTTTCCAGGAGGTGCAGAAGGGGACGAAGCTCTGGAACTACGCATCATTGGGAAAGAGGAAGTAGGGTAAGAGGCATTCCCAGTTGTTGGTGAGCTTAATGAGGAGGTGTAGGAAGGAGAAGGAGAGGAAGGGGTGTATCTAAGGTTTCTAGGTTGCGGTGCTGCGACATCATTTGCCCAAACATTCAACGACACGCCAATGGGAGGCGGGGAGAGGATCCGAGGGCTCAGACATGAACTTGCCGAGCAGTTTCTAGGTAGCTCCAAAGTGAGGCCTAGTGGGTTGTGGGAACTCGCACCTCCTAGCCGTGAACTCTGAGGGTGCGGAGGTTTGTTCGCCATGCGGGAGGAATAACTATGTTGAAGAGGTGGAGAGCAGATTCTAGTAAAGGAGGAGGGGATTTGAGACGGGGACTGAACTCGTGAGCTGGGTTCGGAAGCAGAGAAAGGCCGAGCTACGCGGTTGTGTGACCCGGACCAATGAGGATCGGGAGATTTTGGTATTTCCGCGGCATTAGCGCTACCGTTAGCTAGCGGTGCTTTCTGTGGACTCGCTGACCAATGAGGATCAGGAGTTCTTGGGATTACCACGGCATTAGCGCTACCGTTAGCTAGCGGTGCTTTCTGTGGACTCGCTGACCAATGAGGATCAGGAGTTCTTGGGATTACCACGGCATTCGCGCTACCGTTAGCTAGCGGTGCTTTCTGTGGACTCGCTGACCAAACCCCATTACTGACACCTCGGGTAACGCCGGTATTGCTTATCGCTGTTTTTAAACCAGACAAGCTAACGTTGTTGTTGTTGTTTGAGTTCAGTGATGAGTCAGTTTTGGAGTGAAGGAATGAGGGACGAGGCAAAGGAGGCAGAGGATGGTTCGACGTCATAGATGGGGAAGGGGAGCGTTGGGAAAGAGAGGGAGGGGGTGACTGCATGAAGGACGGGGAAGGGGAAGAGGACCAGAGCGAGGATAGGGGACCCCTTGGATGTTGGTACCCGTCTTTGGTGCACCCTAACTGGGCATACGCAGGCATGCCGGAGCCCTGCTGTTTCGGGGAAGGGGAGCGCCGGCGTAAATGAGAGGAAGGTAAGGAAGAGGTGGAGGCGGGGGTTTGGTTAGCGGTGTTCATTTGTTGCAGGGTATTTTTTGCGATACTCTGACTGATGGACTGGCTTATACAGGAGGCAGCTAAGGATCTGGTGAATACAGAAGAAGAGGAAGTAGTGATTGGCAAGGAGCATGGGGGAGAGCGTAAAGAAGAAGAAGGTGTAGGGGAGGAAGGAGGAGCTGAAGACCTCCCTGAAGAAGGGGGAGTGAAAGCAGAGGAGGGTGTAGGAGGAGAAGAAGAAGAAGGGGGAGATCGCATCGAGAAACAGGGAGGAGCTCTGGAGAAAGAAGAGGTGTCTTCAGGGGTCGGAGAAGATGAAACTTCCCTGAAGGGTGAGGAGCAGGGAGGAGATCTGACGGAGGAGGGAGGTGGAGATCCAACGGGGGAGGGGGAGCGGTTCCTGAGGCTGGGTCTAAAGGCTGAGGGGGGGGCGGGGAGGTCTTTTTCCTGGCCGGAGGGAAGCAACACTGGGGAAGGTCTCTCCATCGGGTTGCACGTCTCCAAGGAGGCTCTGAAAGACGGCAGGCTGGAGGACGGCAGGCTGGAGGTGGACTGTGAGTCGTGCAGGTCTGGGTCCCTGGAGGAGACGGAAAAACACACAGTTAAGGAAAATATTATAGCACTTCAGTTACTAAGCTCCATCTGGAACAAACTCCCAGAAACATGCAGGTCCGCTGCAACTCTGCATATTTTTAAAAACAGGCTTCAGACTTTTCTTTTTTGAATGCACTGTAACTTTTATTCATGTATTTTATACCTGTGTTATTCTATATTAGCTTGTTTTCTGTATATGTTATTCTCTATGCTTTTTAATGACTGTTTTTAAATGCCGCCGCACTATTTCTTAATGCTCTCAATGTTTTTATTTTGGTAAAGCACTCTGAATTGCGGAAATAAATCGACCTTAAGAGTTGAAGCTCCGGTTACGTCACTGAAAAGTTTGTTTTGGTTGTGTCTGCCACACGGAGACTATCTTACGATCAAAAAGCCTGTTGGAGCAGATCTGTTATCTTCTTCCACATCGCTATAAACCTGTCAACCTGATGCAGAGAAGTTTATTCAGACAAACCGCTAGAGTCTTGTGGTTGGTGCTCATTGCGAAAACACAAGTAGTATAAACAGATGATACACTCCATGGTAAAGATAAGCAGGGATAAGTTGTTGACATAGCGCTGTCATGTTTTAAAGAAAACACAAGCCGCATACAGCCGCTGACTGTAATATACATCATGCTTTACTAGTTGATTCATGTATTGTATTAACAGAGGAGGGAGAAGTACTCAGATCTTGTACTTGACTAAAAGTAGAAGTACTCAGATCTTGTACTTTAGTAAAAGTAGAAGTACCCAGATCTTGTACTTGAGTAAAAGTAGAAGTACTCAGATCTTGTACTTGACTAAAAGTAGAAGTACTCAGATCTTCCATCCATCCATCCATCTTCTCCCGCTTATCCGTGATCGGGTCGCGGGGGTAGCAGTTCCAGCAGAGAGCCCCAAACTTTCTTTTCCCTGGCGACATCAACCAGCTCTGACTGGGGGATCCCAAGGCGCTCCCAGGCCAGCGAAGAGATATAATCCCTCCACCTGGTCCTAGGTCTACCCCTTGGTCTCTTCCCAGCTGGACGTGCCTGGAACACCTCCCTAGGGAGGCGCCCAGGTGGCATCCTAACTAGGTGCCCGAACCACCTCAACTGGCTCCTTTCGACGCGAAGGAGGAGCGGCTCAACTCCGAGTCCCTCCCTGATGACCGAACTTCTCACCTTATCCCTAAGGGAGACACCAGCCACCCTGCGGAGAAAACCCATCTCGGCCGCTTGTATCCGCGATCTCGTTCTTTCGGTCATGATACTCAGATCTTGTACTTGACTAAAAGTAGAAGTACTCAGATCTTGTACTTTAGTAAAAGTAGAAGTACTCAGATCTTGTACTTGAGTAAAAGTAGAAGTACTCAGATCTTGTCATCAAATGGAAATATTCAAGTAAAATACAAGTACTTCAACATTTCACTTAAGTACAGTACTTGAGTAAATATACTTCACACCACTGTTTATTAATAATATGAAACTGCAAAGTAACTCGTAACCAATCGAATCAAAGTAAAGAAGTTTGGTAAAAAAGTACGACTTATGTCTGGGTTTTAACGACTTCAATCTACTCCATGATCATTTCATGAATATTTTTTTAAAAGTACGATTACAAAAATATAATTTATCAAGAGAGAAATTCCCAAATGTGAGAAGGTTGGACATTTTCTGGCTTCAACCTGTACATATATTCAGCTTCTCACACATCATTACAATTATAAGGAGCAAATGGTCACTCACAAACTAAGCCTTTCAGTTCTTGGTGAATCCAAACCGTGTCATTTCTTACATTTGAGTGTTTGGATCAGGGGCGTCAAACTCATTTTAGTTCAGGGGCCACATACAGTCCAATTTGATGTCAAGTGGGCCGGACCAGTGCACTCACAGCATAATAACCTATGAACAACAACAACTCCACTTTCTTTTTACAAAACATTATGAACAACCTGACGTTTCTTTCATTACACCGTACAGATCACAGTGTGTCTACAAAAACAATTAGTCATCGTATCTGGAGCTGAACGACATAGTACACCCCCCATCACCCCAGCCACAAAGTGTTCTGTCTGCGGCCGCCTGGCTGGCGGTACCGCAGCATCCGGACTAAAACCACCAGACTCAGAGACAGCTTCTTCCCACAGGCCCTAAGACTAAGACTGTTAAACACCTGCACTTTGAAACAACATCCATAACAGTCATTTGTTTGCATCTCATGTATCCATATATCATATTCCATTTACTTGTATATGGACTCTTCCTGCACCATTTTATTTGTATTTACTTGCATTCTCTTGCACTATTTTATCTTGTTGTCCTATACAGTATATTCATCTTGCTCTGTTGGAGGAGCCTGGGACTTCAGTGTTTCATTGCCATATCTTCCCTCAGGACAATAAAACCTTGAATTGTGTAAAAGGTTAAGTTATCCGCCTGCATTATAAATAAAATCTATTCATACAAAATGACATAAAAGTCGTGGCAGTGTTTGAACAAAAGGGTTCCACCAAACCAAAACTCTTCCTACATGTTTACACTTTGGGAAGTCATTCCACGGGCCGGTATTGGCCCCCGGGCCGTATGTTTAACACCCCTGGTTTAGATGTTGAACAAATGCTAAATGTCCTGCTTAATTTTAAGTTTGTGGGTGTTAACTTCACAGTTCACCGTTACGTAATTAGAAAACATTAGAAGTCATTCTACACAATGGCTAATGTCTGTCTTAGATGCAAACAAGACTTTTAGATTCCTAGCTTCATGAGTCCCGTGGCCCTTAAATCTGCCCCCAATACAAATAACTCTGTTGGATCTGAGGCCCGGTTGTTTGATCCACGCTCTTTGGGGTTTGTTGGGTTCGTCCACCATGAAGAGGAATACTTGTGGTGGCTGATCTTTTGTTTGCAAACACATGACATAAGACATCTGATTCATGTAGGAAATGTTTGAGGAGGTAACTCATCACTCATTCAATTATTTCATCTAGAAACGATAGGGAACACGCTATCGGCAAACGGCTCATTTCTCAACTTCTACGAGCCAAGTTCAATTGCCAAACTGTGAACTTACCGACTGGGTGGAACTGGTTCAGAAAGCCCTCGGGCCATTCCTTAGCGATCATGTGACCTGCTGTTACCTCTGATCTTACATAAGATACAGTCTGAGTCAAACCTCAGCTTGCATTTACACAATGTGCTTCATCACCAGCCACTGCTCAGCCCTGTTTGCATTTTATTCATTTGTTATTAATCTATTATGCAATGTATCTGTACTCTTACTAAAGTGAAGTTATTAAAGTCCTTTTATATTATATCATATTTATTAATAAGGTTTTTTAACGCTATTGTTAAATGTGCTATAGAAATAAAGTTAGATTGGATCATCGACAATAAATGAACAAAACAACGTTCTTGCCGGGACATCGGATAATTATTCCGTGTGTAGAGTTGCTTTCTGGTTCCTTTGTTTCGCCGCTCCAAACCCTTTTCCTTTTAAAAACCACTGCTGTGGGTATTGACAGATTGTTATCTTTCCACACATATTGTGTTTAATCTGCAGCAGAAGTACCTGCTGTTAGACGCAGTCCGTTGACCCGTAAAACAAATGTATGGTAACACTTTATATTAAAGGTGGGCTAGGTAATTTTGGAGAAACCAGCTCGAGTGCGCTAGAATTTGAAAATACACAACCGGAGAAAATCTGCCCCTTCCTCACAGAGCCCCTCCTCCAACACACACGAACGCGCACATGACCAATGAGGGCACGAGATCAGTTTGTGCCCAGATGGAAGGCTGACAGGCAGGATGACCATATTCTACAAGTAATCAGCCTCTAGTTGAGAGTTTTTCCTCAATAACACTCTAATTAGTGCTGATTCATTGCAAGTAAGGAAGTGGTTGTACATGAGTTTTGGTCTTAATATGCTCTGCTCAATATGGGCCTAATAAGAAAGTAGTACCACAAGAATAGTAATTATCTCATAATAACACAAATATGATCTATTCTTATGTAACAAGACATTAAACTATAATTGTGTCTAAATAACTCAAAATGTTGTATTTTTAACTCAGAACATGTTCCCTATTTTAAAGTGAAGTCTTGTTCATAACCAATAACTAGTAGTTTGTCTCTAATATGTTAATGAACAACTAGTTGATGGTGAATAAGTGTACCTTCATATAAAGGGTTACCAAAATTATATTTAAAAACTACTATTTTCTGTACCCTAAATAGTTAATATATTTTACAATCCCTGAGGCACATTGCATAACCCTAAAGCCCCTGCCACACTGTCCCGAAATGTACACCCGATGGACACATGATAAAGCAAATTCGGCTGTGATCGTAGCAACATCGGGCCATTCGTGAGGGCATCTAAGCCATCGTATGACCGCCGGTGGAGTTTCTCAGGCTCCGGCAGCAACTTCGTGAGCGGCAACTTCGTAAGGCACTCGTGAGGGCATCTTGTCAAATCGTGTCATCTTCGTGTTATCATCGGTGCATTCGCCCTCACTCTGATCGGGGCGAATGCCCGATGGCACCGATGATAACACGATGCCCTCACGATGGCCTTACGAAGGGCAAAATGGACACACGAATTCAACACGAAAATGAACCTTCGCAAGGTCCTTCGGCAATTTTTTGGCATGCCAAAGATTTTGCCACCGATGGCTTAAGATGCCCTCACGAATGGCCCGATGTTGCTACGATCACAGCCGAATTTGAACATTTCCTTTATCGTGTGTCCATCGGGTTGTTTTATAACATATTAAGTAAATAACCCAATTTGTGTTCTGTGAAACTAAAAAGGATATAATATATTATTTTGAAGGACAGTTGACAGGAAGTTGTTGTTGTTATGGAAACAACATTACGGAGAAAACGTAATATCTTCTACATATAACGACGGATAAAGTAAAGAACAAAGTCTGAAGATATCAGTACAGTATAATAGTACTGTAACATAATTGTTTGTGTTACTTTCGTTGCAGTTGTATGTCTTAAATGTAATGTAGATGTTGCCTTCGTGTGTGGTTCGGGGCCATCTTCGTGCGAAATTCACAATTCCATATTCGTGTGTCCATCAGGTGTCAACTTCGGGACAGTGTGACAGGGGCTTTATGGAGCTACATATTGATTATGTTATGTTATTTAATGGTAAATATAAATGCTCTTGCTGCTTTCGTTTAAAGTAAATGTATCATTTTGTTGTGTTATGATGTTAGTTATAATTAAAGGAATTCTTCATGCTTTTATTTTTATTATATCTTTATTTTGTTTTGGGCACTGGTGATTATTATATATTGGAGACAGATGGTGGTGGGATTAGCATATGTTTTTTACCGGGAAAAACACAGGAGAAACCCTTGCTGTTCATCGACAATGAACGAACAAAACAACGTTATTGCCGGGACATTTGATAATTATTCCCTGATAAAGATTCACTTTCTGCTTTTATTCCTTTAACTGGCCGCTACAAACCCTTTTCCCTTTAAAAACCAATGCTGTGGATATTGACAAATTGTTATATTTCCACACATATCGTGTTTAATCTGCAGCAGAAGTACCTGGTGTCAGACGCAGCCTGTTGGCCCGCAGCAGTGGGGAGGTCGTGCGGTCGCTGGCTGGTGAACGTCGGCAGGCGGTCGACAGGATTAGATTCTGCGTTTTGAAACGAGGACCACGGACTCGGTGCTCCTGCTCGGTGATCCTCTGAGGTTTCTGTGACCCTATGACCAGAAACATGTGAGGGGTCAAAGGTCACGTGCGAATGCTGACCGTAGTGAGGTTTCTCTCCTGCAAAGATCACCGAAGAACCTTGCAGAACCATCCTGGTGTTGGATGAAGAATCAGGCTTGCCATCGTTCTTTGGTCCTCCAGAGACGCCCAGGTTATCCGACCCTCCTTCGGCCAGGAAAAGTGTCTCTTTCTGGGCCTGATCTCCAGCTGGTCCTGGGGAAGGCTCAGCTGTGGATAACTCTCCGTATGCAGGCGATTCGTGAACTTGTTTGGTTAACGTATCGTCAGCGCGTCCTGTGTAGATCTGCTGGTCTTGTATATATTGGACAGCTGGTAAATCCTGCTGATCTCTTTCTTTGGAAATGTCACACTTTGGTTTGTTGAGAGCAGAGGGGTTTGGCTCGGATGTGGAGTTTTCACAGACGGGGGAAACATGGCATCCACCAATCAGCTCCGACCTGCAGGCGACACAAACAAGTCAAGACTTTAAGAAGCAATGGGTACGATTTGCAGTGCACATTAAATCAGAACATCTGTTTTTTAAGGTTCATGTAGCTGGTTCTATAACATCTAAGGGTGGGGAATTGGCCAATGGCAGTTTTGCTTACAATGTTAAAGAGCTAGAGTCTCTCTTGCCACTTCAAGCCTTCAGTAAGGATTGTAAATATTATTCAAGAGTTATGTTTGGTAGTGTAGTTCTGCTAGTCTTGTCATTTAAAGTTGAGGTTAGTAAAGCACATTGCAGACACAAAGGCAACTAATAGTGCTTTAGACACACAGAGAAAGGAAAAGGAAAACAAACTATTCATTAAAGACAGAGAAGAAAGTTCAAAATCCACATTAGGAATGACAAAAACAGTAGATTCTATAGATAGATAGATAGATAGATAGATATATGGATAGATAGATAGATATATATCTAAGCTATCTGAGAATAGTGGCTCGATGCTCGCTCAGAA